TGATCTTGTCGCAGAGGTGGCGGTGGTCCTGAGGACAAGTTTTGTTGTTGTTGTTGTGGGTAAGTTTAAACCTTTTTGTTTTAACCATCTTTCTTACCTGAGCCTGCACCTGAAGTAGCTGGTGGTTGGTCCCTAGGAAGGCAAAGAGTAGTAAAAGAGACAGGAGATACAGTTTCATGTTGGTTTTAGATTGGGAAAAGTCAAACGTGTAGTTCAAATGAGGAGAAAAGATGTTTGTAGAAAAAGTAAGCAACGTCATGATAGTTTTATTGTAGATCTACTATTGTTTATTGTTTAAAAAACTCGAATCTTTTATTTTAGAACAACTTTATGGCACTACTGAAGAAGGCTTTGTTTGTGTGCTGAACTCATTTCGGCGTCTCGGGAGCCTTTTCACCCTTATCATCCTTCTGCTCCTTCTGCTGCTGCTCCTCGAAGGCCTTCAGCACCTCGGCCCTCTTGTGCGTCGCATCGCAGAAGGGCGCCCTGTTCGTCTGCTTGCAGTTGCAGATGAAGTACGGCTTAACTTCGGTGCACTCCCACTTGACCGGGCGCAGCTTGATGTCAGGGCGCTTGTGGGTGCCGTCGCAGAATGGCTGCAACAGAAGGAATGGATTAGATTTAGAAATAGAACATCTTAGCATCCTGAACAAAGACACACACTTACCTGCTTCTTACTCTCTCCGCAGCTGCACCAGAAGTAGGTCTTTCCCTCGGTGGGGGTGAACTTCACCGGCTTGATGTCGAAGACGAGGCCCTTTTCAGTGATTTCCGTTGCTCCTGTGGCAGTGGACAGACTGCGCCGAGCTGCAAGCGTTGTCAGACGGACTAGTTGTGACTTCATTTTCTAGCTTTTCAGATTCGGGTAAAGCTTGTTTGAGTGCTTGTTTTGACGGCTGTGAAATGTAAACAGACAGACAGACAGTGTCATGTGTTTCTTCTTTGCTACCACCAGTCAGTCAGCTGTTGTCGACTGCTTCTAACAGTGCAACTCGTCAGTGTGGGCACTCGTCTGTGCCTGTTCTTGTCTGTGCTGCGTGTACCTCTCTCTTTTCTTTTCCCTCTATTTATATCGGTGAAACTCTGTGCATGTTACTTTTCTGCGTACATTGGCACTTGGCCAATTCGGCTTTTAAGATTGTAGAAAGTACTTCTTGTAGAAAGTACTTCTTGTAGAAAGTACTTCTTTTCACTCTTTGCAGCGCACTCTTTCTTGACCAGGTTTTCTGGTCATCTTTCCAAAAAAAACAGAAAAAAAGTTTAGCATCAGTTTTTAATTAATTTTTAGTTCAGTCACGCTTCATTAGCTTCAATTTATCCAATTGAAAGCCTGTTTAGTGTTAGTGCATCAAAGTGACCTTCAAAGTAAAATAGCACTGCTGCTGCTGCTTCAGTTTGAAGTGCAAAAAGACAGAAACAAAATGGTTGAACTTTATTAGTTTTCTTTTTGTCACACAAAGGGCACCATGGCGAAGCTGCCCGGGCCAAAGAGGCCACAGGAGGCGGCCACCTCCTCGGTCCGCTTGACCAGAAGGTACCCCGCCAGGCCCCAGTCCGCCGAGCCGTACGTTCCCTTGATGATCCAGTGGGTTCGACTGTAGCCCACCAGGAGGCCGGTGTGGGTGATGGGCGCCCCCGCCCTGCACCGCCGATTGTACGGCCCCCGCAGGTTCAGCCAGAAGGGCTCGTGGACGGCGCGGAAGGGCACCACCACGGGGCCGTACTTGAGGAGGAGGCGCCGCAGGAGGCGGTCACCACCGGCAGGCGGCGCCGGGAGGTGGGACTTTTTGCAGAAGAGGCGAAGGCGGGCGGCGAGCAGCCCGGAAGGAAGCGGCTGGTGGCAGTTCTTTGGTCGGAGCTAACCAGAGGAAAAAGGTCGATTATTTTTAAAGTTCAGGGGTTTTTAACCTAGAACACTCACCACCGGTCTTTGAACAGCCGACACCTCATAGGGCTCTCCCTTGCTCCGTTCCACCAGACCGTGCTCTGCGGCCACCCTGAAGACGTGCTCCACGCGGCCTGCCTTGCAGATGCTCTTCTCCGTTGCGTAGCCGAGCGCTACCAAGCAGTTGAAGANACCTAGAACACTCACCACCGGTCTTTGAACAGCCGACACCTCATAGGGCTCCGCCTTGCTGCGCTCCACCAGCCCATGCTCTGCCGCCACCCTGAAGACGTGCTCCACGCGGCCTGCCTTGCAGATGCTCTTCTCCGTTGCGTAGCCGAGCGCTACCAAGCAGTTGAAGAGGTCCTTTTCGCTGAAGCGAATCGAGGAGGAGGTAGTGGTAGATTTTGTCTTTTGATTACCTCCTTTTAGTGGTGGTAGTCCATGTTTCAGCATGTACGCGGACTGCATTGCATCCACGGCGGCAATCAGGTAGCAGGTGGCGCAGTGGCCCTGGTCGGCCACCGGGCTTATCACGCCCTTTTGCTGGCGGTAGTCGTATTCGGGTGGAATTTTTTCATTATTTACATTTTCTTCCTCCTCTTCAACGTAGCAGTCCTCCTCGTCGCTGGTCGGCAGCTCGCCAAGGATTTTCTCGCCCGGCACTCGGCCTAGAGGGCCGAATTTGAAGAGAGTTGTTGTGGTGTTTGTTTCCGGTTGAAGGAGGTACGTCGCGGCGAACTCCTCGCTTGAGAGTGCTGAAAAGCGTGTCAATCCCAGTTTTGTTGGATCGTCGTCTTCGGACTTGAGGCATTCTATTACCACTTTTGCTAGGCTTTTTACCGTTTTGATCAGGTTCTTCAGGCGGTGGATGATTGTTGGTTGATGATGATGGCTTGTTTTGCCTTCACCACCGAATATTTCATTGTGGTGATGTTTCTAATAAAAAAAATTAAAATCTAGTTTTAAAAGCTTTAATTTTTACCGCAAACCGCTCAAGTACAGTGCCCAGTGGAAGGCTGAAAATGTTCACCGATTCATTGCCAACACTTTCTTCATAACATCTTTTCAGTTTTTCCCTTTTCCGTTTTATCAGCTCAACTTCATGTGAAAACAGCTGGTCGATGATGCTAAGATGTGGAACATGGTCTTTCAATTGACGAAAAGTTTCTTTGATGTGATGAAGTCTTTCGAGGAAAAAGGCATCTGTTGTTGTTGATTTACTTTTGTTTTGTTGATGTGAGATAACTGTCAGAAAGAAAAGGCACACGCAGATAAGTTGAAAGATTGTGAAAGTGTTTGACTGCATTTTATTGGTAGAAAAAAAGCTAGCCAAATTAGTGTTTGAGTTTCAAGATTGCTAAACAAAAAAAGTTTAATTTTTTTGTCAAATCAATTAAAATAAATAAAAGCCAATTGACTGAAATAAATGACTCGCATGACCTTGTGGCACAGTAATGAACAATAAAAAATGGGGAAAAAATTAAAATGCACGCCAAAACGTAAAACCATAACCAAAAAAGTTGNATAAAAAAGAGTTGATACTCACTATCTCAAAGTCTTCAGGCCACTTTTTACCCTTCAAACCGCTTGGAAACTAAATTAAGCCCTTTTGGAGGTAATTAAAATATAAATACAGTTGCACAGTAGGAGAGAACGATATTTAGTATGCAAAAATTTATGTTAGAAATTAAGAAAAATGAACTTAGCAATCACTTTACTCATCTCTCTATTTTCCACCACCTGTTATTGTCTCCACCACCAGGCCTATGAACCTTCCAGCTTCGCCCGTCGCCTTCACCACCTGGCCGAAGTCCACCAGGCGATTCACGCGGTGCTGGAGAGCAAGGAGAGTGGCCACAGTCCCCTGCACCCGAATGCGACCATCGTCGAGAGGATCATGTCCGCGGAGGCGGTGGCCAGCCTGCTGGGCCGAGTCAAGGCTAGTGGCCGTTTTGAGGCCTGCTACAACTGCCTGCTCGGCGGCCACCGGCTGAGCGTCTTCGAGACGCCCGTCAAGACGGTGCTGCTGGAGTACCTGAAGGCCCACTTTCACCACCAGCACCACTACTGGG